GCGGCAGCGTCAGCGGCAGCGGTGGCAACAGCATCAGCGGCAACGGCAGCGTCAGCGGCAGCAGCAGCATGAGCAGCGGCAGCGATCTCACCAACAGCAACCGCTCGCCTGAAAATAAAAATTGGTGTAAAACTACATAATTAACTGCTAGTATGAATAATTTGAATCAAACAGTAATTAAATTAAAGGCTCCACCGATCGAGTTATCGGAACATGATATACCGTACCAGAAAAAGAAGCAGAAAGGGACTGATCGAACCCAAACAATATAATATTACTACCAGCGATCAATAACAAATTAAATACTACTATGATATTTTGAGTAGATTCACAACAACATATATCCATAAAAATATGATTTTTAAATTAATACAACAAATTAAGCTACTATATAATAACAAAAATGTCATCTTTAACTAACAGGAAACAACAACACATCCATAAGATTATGATTTTTAACTTAAAACAACAAACTTAAACAATAAAAATTTCATCTTTAACTGTAAAACTAACGGGAAACAACAACATATCCATCAAAATATGATTTTTAACTTAAAACAACATGAAACTAAATAAGCTAGCTACTAATAACAAAAATGTCATCTTTAACACTAAAACTAACTGGAAACAACAACATATCTCCATAAAAATATGATTTTTAACTTAAAACAACATGAAACTAAATAAGCTAGCTACTAATAACAAAAATTTCATCTTTAACACTAAAACTAACTGGAAACAACAACATATCTCCATAAAAATATGATTTTTAACTTAAAACAACAAACTTAAACAATAAAAATGTCATCTTTAACTGTAAAAATAGTGAAACAACAACATATCCATGCATATTTTCAAATTTTTAACTTAAAACAATAAAAATTTCATCTTTCAACTCACATGAGCTCCATACGAACATGGACGGACTCAATCGACGACGACGCCGTAACAAGTTCCTCGAACTTCGCTTTGAAAGCAACATCATCGTTGATCTTTTGAACTATGCCATATTTGACAAAGAGGCAAGTGTCACGGACTTAGAGTCTTACTAAAGCTCCGTGCGGCACTTGACAACTTAAATCTTTCACGATCTTGTAAGCTCAAGTAAACCCTTTGAAACCAAGATCGCTAAGAGAATGAAAAGGAAGACTTAGAGAATTTTGGAAGAAGGCTTATATTGCTTGGAAGAATGCTTTACACTTTATTTCTTGGTTGCTTGCTTGGATGGTGTCTTGCAAATGAGGGGCACCTCTATTTATACTACCTCCTAGGGACTAAAATGTAATTAATATTTATTTTACAAGTCCCTAAACTATTTACACTTTGGTCCCTCCCTGGAATCTTCTACTAATTCTAGGAAATTCTAAAACTTTCCAAGAAAATATCTAGTCCCTCTTCTAGAATTCTCTAGAATCTCTACACATTCTAGAGAATTCTAAGGCTTTCTTGGAAACTATCTAGGACCTTCCATTGCCTTCTAAGTTATTCTAGAGAATTCTAGGGAATTCTCTAGCCTTTTTGAATAATCTAAAGGGTTCTAGAGTCTTCTGGAAACCTCTCCACAACTCTAGACCCTTCCGCCCCTATTCGGACACAAAATTTCACTGTGATGTGGTGGGACGTGACACAAGTCTCAGCAACACATGTTGAATCTGGATTAAAACCAACACAAAATTCACACACTACCATTTTTGAATTAAGGATATTTTGCTTGAGCGAGAATACTTGGAAACAATGAAATGATGAGGGTATATAAGGGTTTATAGGGACTATTTGGAAACAATGTTGATAAAATGTAAGGACAATTTTGATTAAAAAAAATAAAATCTCAACCGTCTCTCTCTCTCTCTTCTACGTACTAACAACGAGAATATTTTCATCTCAAATAGTACTATGTCCAACGGATAATGAAAACAGATTTTTTTTTATAGTGGATTTTCATCATAATACTTTTTTATTATTCTTGGGTTATAGCAGTGATCTAAATTCAAGTTCTGACCTCCTAATTAATTAAGTTGAATGGTTAACAAAAGCACTCTCCAATATCAAATTTTATTTAATTCCCTTAATTAAAATAGGACGAAATAACATTAACATTGGCAAACACGCGGTTTTGAAATAATAAGCAAAACCAATAATAATATTGGCAAACGCATTTTGAAACAACAAACTGACAGGTTAATAAACGTAATACGAATAAAAGGTTGTAGCATGACATAATTCACATTGCAAATTTCCTCCGGCATCAATATCTCTCTGTATAACTCATTTGATATATTAAATGAAATCATAATATATTTAGATAAATTATCCTTAACGAGCCAATGAAATGAACCACGAACAAATGTCAAGGATACTTTGTAAATAAACTTAATTAGATGAGAAAATGCATCTACCTGATAATTGAGGATATAATATGTAAAAATAATTGTCCTTTCTTGATTTGTCAAAATGGACAAATAATTAGGAACAACTAAAAAAGGAAAAATGGACAAATAATTAGGGACTATGGGAGTATATAAAAGTCATTCACCGACTAAAAAGACTCTCCTTTAGTTCTCTTAATAACATAATCTAATTCAATTATAATATTTATAAAATATTTCTTGTTTTTTTACCATATATTAGTTCATGGAATGTCATGATGGTGTGAGTCTAATCTTTCGTACCTTTTTATACTCCTACCTAATTAATTAGTTATGTTATTTTAGTCTTTCGGCATTTCAAGCCTAGACAAAAGCTTGACGTTGATGTGTTTGGCCATAAAATCTTCCGTTACTTGGCATATGTAATAATTTTATTAGTCGACACATTACTAGGTTAAATAAGGGAAATGATTTGATATATACTACTACTATATATTATTTTATTTGTAGGGAGTAAATCATGGGAATTGTAGTTCACATATTGATTATCCAAATAAAATTCAGTTAAAAATAGAGCCAAAATGAATAAATAAGTACATACTCCAATCAATTCAAAACTTATTTGCTAACTACAAAAAGACAAAAATTGGGAATCAATTAAGCAAATTTAATCTAAAACTATAAACAAACAAAAGAAATACTCTACGGGTTTTACAATTAGGTAGGGCCCACTGTCAGACAGTTGGATCCTCCAGCTATGACTATTTTGGATTCTCCTATTATTTATTTATATTGACCTTTGATTCATAATCGAAGACTACATGCACGACCAAAGACGACTATCAGAATCTAGAGTCAGTGAATATAGAAAAAATGTGATTTTTATTACATATGCATATTTTAATTTTAATATTTTTGCTCAAAAATGTATAATTCGAGTAAAAAAGTGTTGAGTTTATTTCAAATTCCGCTCGCAACTTTTCATTTTGATAGGAATAAGTATTTGCAGCTCTATCACAATTGACTTTAAAATAGTCATTCAAGACAAAAATAGGAAACTATACTTATACTCATTTGTCCAGACAGTGAACTCCTTAGCGAAATGTTACATACACTATCTTACAGATATGATGATTTAGACCACTAAAAGAAATTCGTACAATCAAAAGATAATATCATTGAAGAGCATGAGAGAGACATGATTTGAACCTACATAGAAAACCTATCTTCAACAAGTTTGTAGTTTGTCGCTTTTCACCATTCGACCACTCTCCCCCCCCCCCCTTCTCTGATGAAGACCCCCTAATGGGTTAATTATAATTCTAAGACTTGAATCCATAACCTAATCTTAGATTCATATCTAACAACACAGTCATTCATATTTACATATGCCTAAAGATGGTCAGTCATCTAACATACTTTATATAAAATTATACTATATATATAGATTAAACATAAACTATGAAGGGACACTTTGGTGTATGTAATGTACTATACTTCCATTACTGCGTCACGTCATGTCTAGACCAAGTGTAACATGGTTGGTGCTAGCTAGCTATAGCTACATATAGTACAACATTATCGGAGAAGGATCTAAAATGTTCTTCAAGTATTTGAATTAGTATAAAATTACACCTCATCCACCTATCGGCCCTAAAATGCCTCTGACGTCCACCTTTCTGCTCAAAAATATCCTCGATGTTAATCCTTTGACTCATATTTGCCATTATTTTTAATAGCTCCCATAAAGTAAAATTATTAAATATTTATTTATTATATTGCTTAATGTGATTGGTCCAAATTTAACCCCTTCTCAAATAAATAATAGAAATGATATTTTAAAAAATAATATTTTTCTATAATTAATTTCATGATATCTTCCTATTGGCATATTTTAAATCACCCCCAATTTATTATAACGTAACCCAACTCATAAATGGGGATCCAACTAAAATCCATACTTACCCCGGCTGATTGCCCATCTAAAAAAATTATTATTTTCATTAATATAAAATTTTCTCTCGATTATACAAATGTCTTGTTCATTTTCTCTTTTATTCCTTTTTTAATCTCTTATTCTTAATTAGGATATCCGGGACTCAACTTGAAATGAACTCATATATATATTTATATTCTTTTAATTAGTATTATTGTCATAATGGGAAGAGGGTGGGGATAAGATAACTTATTATTTTTATTCTTTTATTTTTAATTTTGGCTACACACAAAAGAATACTATAATTTTTGTTCATATTTGCTTAATTAAGTCATCTTTTATTGAACTAATTATTTCTATATGAATGCATCGTTATTTTCCTCTCTCTTTTCTCTCTTGTTTGTGACAAATTAAAAATAAATAAAATAAGGGAATATTACATAGTAAATCATTTCCTAGCGAATGATGAGAATGATGTTAGGCCAATTAAGGCTAAAATGTCTATTATGATTTTATAAATTAAGTGTATATCAAAGAAGGTCATGATATGACTACTATAATGGCATCGATTTTTACTTGATTAGAGTTAGAAAGTGTGTTACTTGTGAAATCGACCTGATCTACGAAGGAATGCATATCGCTATAGATAAAAGACCGAACAAATTTGATAGTGTATTTTAGTTACTTAACTGGCAGAAATGTGTGAGCTATTTGAGTACAATCTTCTCAGGGGTATGATGTGTTCTAGTGGTGGATCTAACGGGCTTTCACGATATGGTACTAGTGGTATATAAAAACGGATATGTCGATTGTGTAAAGTGTAAATACTAACTACTTAAGGAGTTATAATTAAGTTGTACCACATGCTAGTATAATAAGACTCGATGTTGCATTTATATTTGAGAAACCAACTGGTTATTACTACGGATGTGTTGGTTAAAACATTGTCTATAAGGAAGATTATAGTGGTGGATTTTTGGAATCATATTAATGTGTTTAGGTTGTGAAGTGTACCTCAAGGATTTTGAATGAGTGGTGATTTCATCGTAAGCTCCATGAAAGTGGATTGATATTAGGATGACAAGTTTATGAGTAAAGGAAGTACTTAATACATTGATAAATTTTAACTTTTAATCTATTTAATTTTGCCACCGTAAAATTATTTTTTTCACTTGATTTTTTTTTTTGAAAAAGAGTGTGTACGTAATACATACACTGTCCATATGATATTAGTCGAATCATTAAATAGTAATTTATTAATCACTCAAAATAATACTAACAGAACATCATGTGAATGAAAACTATTTAGAGTAACTTATTAATCACTCAAAATAATGAATGATAAATAAATAAATAAATCCAAAATAGTCATAGCAGGAGGATCCAACTGTCTGATAGTGGGCCCCACCTAATTGTAAAACCCGTAGAGTATTTCTTTTGTTTGTTTATAGTTTTAGATTAAATTTGCTTAATTAATTCTCAAGTTTTGTATTTTATAGTTAGCAAATAAGTTTTGAATTGATTGGAGTATTTATTTATTTATTCATTTTAGCTCTATTTTCAACTGAATTTTATTTGGAGAAAATCAATATGTGAACTACAATTCCCATGATTTATTCCCTATAAATAAAATAATATATAGTAGAAGTATATATCAAATCATTTCCCTTTGATTTATGCCAAGCAAAACAATACAACCTTTTATTTTGAGATGGTTGCTTGTAAGAGTCACAACTTTATAATGCAACACCTGAATACAATATAATATTTTGATGTACTATTTCTTTCCTACACAAAATCACTTAATCATATAATAATTTGATGTTAAGGAAACGATCATAAGTGATGTAGATCCAATTTAGAGATAATGAAAACATACCTAACAAAACAATTAAACCATTACAAGTTAATTAGTTGTATTACTATTTAACGATAACCCAACAAAAACTAAGCTAGCTACTTAACATAATCATAAACTAATTAAGCAAAAATCACACTTGGACATTTTGGATGAGGAATATCTTTCAGGGTTTTTGGAAACAAGGTATGAAGGGGGTTTTAAGGGTTTTCACTCCTTTTTAGCGGTACACCACGGTCCCTTTATTTTAAGACAATATTTTTTTTCACCCCCGGTCTCATATTAATTGAGATAAGTATTGAAAACACCTCTAAAAATTGATAACCATCCTCGTGGCTTTCGCAATAATACTGTACCGTCTAAAAGCTCTTTGCCATTTGTTCATGGCTCATTTCATTAGCTCGGTAAGGATAATTAATCTAAGTATATTATGATTTCATTTAATATATCAAATGAGTTGTACGGATAGATATCTCTTAGAAAAGTTATTTATATTACTTTTTTTTAATCTTTATCAGAACCCATGCTACAGATAAATGATCTTAGTTCAAATGGGCCAAAATCAATCTTACTGGGCCTTCATTGAAGTCCATCTCAACTCTGCCTCCTGTATCTGTCTTTGAGCTCATGCTAACACCTTATTCGATATTACATAGTAAATCATGATATTAATAATACTTGTGGTTTAAGAATAAAAAATTGATCTTTCAACTCACATGAGCTCGATACGAAGATGGAGGACTCAATCGACATGTCCGTAACAAGCTCGTCGAACTTCGCTTTGAAAGCAACATCCCGTTGGTCTTTTGAATTATGTCGTATTTGACAAAGAGGCAAGTCTCACCAATGCATGTTGAATCTCGATTAAAATCAAGACAAAATTCACACTCTGCCATTTTTGAATTAAGGATATTTTGAATTGATAAATTTTAACTTTTAATCTATTTAATTTTGCCACTGTAAAATTATTTTTTCCTCGTGATTTTTTTTTTCTTTTAAAAAGAGTGTGTACGTACTACAAACACTGACTATATGATATTAGTTGAATCATTAAATAGTAATTTATTAATCACTCAAAATAATACTCACAGAACATCATGTTAATTAAAACTATTTAGTGTAACTTATTAATCACTCAAAATAATGAATGAAAAATAAATAAATAAATAGGAGAATCAATATGTGAACTACAATTCCCATAATTTATTCCCTATAAATAAAATAATATATAGTAGTAGTATATATCAAATCATTTCCCTTTGATTTATGCCAAAAGGAAATCAATACAACCTTTTATTTTGAGATGTTTGCTTGTAAGAGTCACAACTTTATAATGGATTTTGTCCACAATTTTATTTATTTTTAATTTGTCATAAACAAAGAGAGAGAAAAAATGAGGAAAATAACGACGCATTCATATATAAATAATTTGTTCAATAAAAGATGACTTAATTAAGTAAATATGTACAAATATTATAGTATTCTTTTGTGTGTATACAAAATTAGAAATAAAGAATAAAAATAATAATTTATCTTATCCCCGCCCTCTTTCCATTATGACAATAATACTAACTAAATGAATATAACTATGTGAGTTTATTTCAAGTTGAGTCCCGAATATCCTAATTAAGAATAAGAGATTAAAAAAGGAATAAAAGAGAAAATGAACAAGACATTTGGATAATCGAGAGAAAATTTTATATTAATGAAAATTATAATTTTTTTTAGATGGACAATCAGCCGGGGTAAGTATGAATTTTAGTTGGATCCCCATTTATGAGTTGGGTTAGGTTATAATAAATTGGGGTTGTTTTAATATATGCCAATAGAAAGATATCATGAAATTAATTATAGAAAAATATCATTTTTATTATTTATTTGAGAAGGGTTTATATTTGGACCAATCACATTAAGCAATATAATAAATAAATATTTAATAATTTTACTTTGTGGGAGCTATAAAAAATAATGGCAAATATGAGTCAAAGGATTAACATCGAGGGTATTTTTTAGCAGAAAGGTGGACGTCAGGGACATTTTAGGGCCGATAGGTGGATGAAGTGTAATTTTGTACCAATTCAAATACTTGAAGGACATTTTAGACCCTGCTCCAATAATATCAAATAAATTATAAAAATACCTACATATATACAGTAGTATAATTAAATAATATACAAACCTTACACAATTATATATACATTTAGTTTACACCAAAAATTACCAAATACAGAAAGAACAACTTTGTGTCATATATACACTTGACATAGTAATTTATACAGTTACGAACACATATACATGGTATAAATATTTTACACGATTACTTACATATACAATGTTTTCAATTAAACAATATACAAATCGTATAACTTATATATACGGTAAAATTATAAAAACATTACTCGCACTAAAGAACACAATTGTATTCAAATCATAGACAATACATATATACAAATCTTATCATTCATTTAACTTTTTTTGAACAAAAAAATAGAATAGAATTCTTAATATACGATTTCTCTAATCTTGTATAAACGAATAGAAACTTTTGCGAAACATCTTAATCAACAAAATAAAAATTATTCGGTTTTCAAAATTTCAATTATATACTGTACAAATCAATTGTATACTTTCTTGCCGTTTCAAAACATGAAGTTTCCTGGAAAGAAACGATTAACTTGCGTTGAATATACAAAAATATTGATTAACGGGTGCTTCAGTCGTCTGACGAAACAAAATGTTATAGAACTCATTTTTGGAAAAAATATTTGATTTTGAACATTTAGCTTGAATCGTGGGATTATGTAATTTTTCTGTTACTGTATTTAGCGCTCATGTTTTAATTATTTCTTAAAAAATATTGTATAAATTTTTAACCAAAAAAAAAAAGGTTATATACAAAATAAACGCTTAATAGCAAACTAAACTATACCCATAGAATATAATTATATAAACTATACCTATAGAGCGTTATTTCATTAAATCAGTTTGTCATATATGAAATTTTCCTTTAACTAAATATGTTATAGTAGTATTATTAAAATAAAATAAATTATAAAGATATTTTTTAAAATTATTTATTATTGTGAAATTTTAAGAGGAAGATAAATAATTTTGTTGAATTCTTTTATTCACATCCTTGATTAAAAACAGAGAATAATCAGTTTTTAAAACATGTATGATGTATCTTCCAAAACTCGTAATAGGAAATGGACACAAATTACTTAGTAAGATATAATTATAATATTTTAAGCACGTAGATTATTTGTATTTTTATTTAGGGATAAGGGTCTGAAAAATATCCCAATTAGATTTGTTGTTGCGATACTAAATTATCATGAGGACTTATTACCTCCCTAGACTATTTAATACCGTATTTTAAACATATATATATATATATATATATATATATATATATTTGCCCACGTGGACATAAAAAATAATGCAAAATTATAAATAGTAATGTGTCCACGTGGGCACATTTATACCTTTAAAATACACTATTAAATAGTTCAGGGGGTAAAAAAATATGGTATTAAATAGTCTAGGGAGGTAATAGGTCCTTTTGAAAGTTTAGTATTGCAACATCAAATCTGACCAAAGTTAAGGTATTTTTCCGACCCTTATCCCTTTTATTTAATCATAATATTTTATTATATCAGAATTTTCTTATTTTTATTTACTTGGTTCATTTATTTTTCATTGCAGAATCATCTAAAATTTACATGATTTGATGAAATTTATTTGGGTAGAATTTTCGTTGAGCGAAGACAAGGGGTATCAAGCTAGAATCTACTCAAAAAAATACACAAATATGAGTGAAATGTAGCTAAAAAAAATGTAAATTCATTATTCATCTACGACTCTCGACTTTATTTGCTAAAAAATAAAAATGAAATATTTGCATTTTTGTGGTTTCCATATAACATGA